TCATTAAAAAAAAAAACATTTACTTTGCAGTATGTCTCTAGTGCGAGTGGAGAAATTTACAATTTACTCACTGGAAACTCACAGATAACGTTATCTGCTATTATGAAATTAATAGATGAAGATTTCTTTCCGCGGGAGAACGCCGAATGGGCAAAAAATACCATTGCAAAAGCGAAACAATTTTTGATGGTAATTATTATTAAAGAGAAATTAGATACAGAATATCTCATTTTAAGTAATGCATTAAGGTCCGATTGCACCAACGTTACTTTACTTTTAAGCCTTGTTTAAAGTTAAAGTAACGTTGATGCAACCGGGCCTTAGATTTCTCGAAAACTATGATAGATACGGAAAAATGTTTCAAACAAAAGTTGTATGGTTCGGTGGGGAACCCGGGTTGCTGAAAGTTTACTGAAAATGAACTTTTCAGCTAAAAATCGCTGAAATTAAACTGAAATTTTTCTGAAATGCTGAAATGTTGCTAAAAAATATTCCAAAACATGGAATAATTTCAGCGAAATGTTTCCATCAGGGTAGTAGATATATAAATTCATACTGAATTATTTAAGTATCGATCCTTATTTTTATGGAATTCCTCGTTTAAAAAATTCAAAGTGACTTTGACTTGACCTTAACGACGCTACCCAAAGTCAAATCAATCTTCTTATGTCCCCCTTTGAACCACACAACTTTTGTTTGAAACATTTTTTTCGTATCTACCACTACCATTTTCGAGAAATCTTAATACATTATTTAAAATGCGACAACCTGTATAACGTGTTGAAAAAATGGGTATATATTAGTTGCATTAATTCAATTGAACACCAAGCAATCACAGCGCTAGAAAAAAAATAAACAAAAACTTTCTAGGTGAAAGTCTCTGTGATTGGTAGTGGGCAATTGCAATAGTGTGCAAGTGAACTGTTCCCGAAAAAAATAGTTAAAAAATATATTTCTTGACGAATTATTGTGTGAATTCCTATATGTATCGTTATGTATTCATTGTGGAAATCATTTTGCAGAAAAAATTGAGTGACAATGGAGTATTGTTTTATCCTTCAGCACCGTTTTCTGCTAGCTATCATTATTCTGCATTTCTGAGACCCTTCAACTTTGGTTACTGGTGTCTGTTTAATGTTTTGAGATTCCCAACATGCCAAGTGCCATTGGGCTTAGATAAACAAGGCTTGCCAGTCGGTATTCAGGTGAGACTTTTACACACACATACACACATATTATGACTTTTACAAATTTACATTTGAATTCCATATTTTCTATATATTTAGAATATTTATAGTTCAGAATTTTGTTTCTATCATGCTAATCATTTAGTTGTGAGACTATATATCCAGGGTTGCTACAGCATAGAAATTTGAAAAAATCATGGTTACTTTAAAATTTATTCTTTACTTATAAGAAAGTATATATCTTTTTTGTTTTTAGTTAGCTTTAAAACTTGAATTGTTCGTACAAGTCATTATAAAAATATTGAAAATTCTTAAAATTCATACTCTCTTTAAAGGTGGTTGCAGCTCCATACAATGATCATCTATGCTTTGCGGTGGCTAAAGAACTTGAAACAGCATTCGGTGGTTGGGTTCCTCCATCATGAATTATGTGCAAGGTACACGTGTTTTTTTTCTTAGAGAATATTATGTTAAGTCGCATATTATCAGTTATTATCAACGTTTATGAGGAGCATTTACAGGATAATGGATAATACTTATTAGGCTGTGGGAATGTCTAGAAGCATGAAAGTAATTATTGATATAAGTTTAATTTAATTATGTAATTATTAATATAAATTTAATAAGTTTAGCTACAGCATCTCAAAAATCCGTAAAAAAGGCTTATCGACGTGTTTTTGCATAAAAGAATCTGGCAGAAATAAGCGTTACTCTGCCCCGAGAACCGAGATATTAACCCTCACCGTGTAAATGGGAGTCATTTGTGTTCAGGCAAATTTTTAAATTATGAATATTTTGAAAACAAATGAATACGGGCGCGTCGTTCTGCTCCTAAAAAAACTTGTGAGGAAAGGTATCTGAAATCGATCCCGACAATGGACGTTGTTTTCTCGCTGAGCAGCGGATATCAAAAATCGAGCGCGGACACAAATGACCCTCATTTATATGCAACACATATTTGTCGTACAAATAAGAAAATAATTTTTTTCGTGTTTCTTGACTATTTTTATAAGTAAAACATATATATGTATATAACGAATAAATTTTTATTCAGTGTTATCTTAGAATAAAAATGACAAATCGCTCTGTAGAAGAGATGTTACGATTTTTTCGTTCTCTTACAATATCATTCCATATGCATTTTTTTTATTTACGAAAGTATATAAGATTACAGATTTTGAATAAAAAATGAATTTTTTTAAGTTAAATATCAATTTTTCATACGAACGTTTATTTTTATCAATTTCGAAATTGTAAGATTAAATGTCCCGAACTTAAGCATTTAAATTAAAAAAATTTGTTGGCATATATTTTTTTTATTAAAATATGAATTTTAAACTTTATTTTCCATTTTTAATTATTAGATTTCATTGATTTGATCAAAAGTTAGAAATTTTTGAACATACCATTATCATACTCACATTTGTGTTTACATATTTACAAAAATAAAATATTTAAACAAATAGATTTGTTAAATTATGTATAAATCATTTAGAATAGTTAAGGAAGCTTTTAAATGAATTTTTTAACATTTTTTTGAACCATTTAATCCATTAAAAAAAAACGCCGGACGTGAATAACCCCGGTTTACACTAAACAGGTACTATAAAAACGTTTACATGGTGTAAAAGTTGACGACTATTGAGGTAGGAAATCTGTCTCGAAATACTGTGACACAAGTAAAATTATTAGTTATTATGGGGTAAGACAAAACTAGTTAATAATAAAGTTAATAACATAATTAAAACTTTATAATAACTAATAAATAAAATCAATATTAAAAATGAGCGAATATTAGGTGAACGATAATATTAATTATTTATTAATTCATATAAAAATATAAGTTCAGGGTACGTTTCGACTTAACTTAGTCAACTGTGAATAAAAGAGCAATTAAATTATAAAAAACAGATAACACAAATGTATGATGTTAACAGAGACGATTAATGTAAATTAAAATTATTTGCATTTTATTTTGCATTTCTTGCGAAAATTATTAATTACTGTAAAGTGTTGGTAAGATTGGATCCTTGCGAAATTTTAATTAACATTAACCGTCTTTGTTAACATTAGGAGTTTTTATTTGGTGACGACTTACTCCTTGGAGATTCTAGTTATCCAAATTTATCATATTTAATGACTCCATTACTAAATCCCACAATACTAGCAGAGCATTTTTATATAATTTATTCTTTTCCTTTGTTGCTGATCCTAATAAAAAGATTCGGTAATTAGACTAACCATAACTGCTAATAATTGTTTAATTCAGAGCATTAATACTGCAAGTGATACTACACGTAAAAAATACAAACATGTAAATCTGTCGCTCAAATGTCAAATTCAACGTTTTTTTACTCATTTTTTATGTATAAAATTGTCGCTGAAACCGCTAGTTTGAGCGGCACTCGTGAAAATGCATCTTTACCTTTTCTCTTTTATGTGTGTGTGCGTGTCAGATATTACTCACAAAAGTCACTTTAGAACTAGATTATAAACACAGGTATAAACGGTCAATCCTTCTTGACTATTTTATTTGAAATATTATTTTATTCAACCTAACATTTTAAATTCTCTAAATAGAAACTTTTTCGACTTTGGCTTTTCGGCATTTGGAACCAATGTGCGGCGTGCGTATACGTACGTGTCTGCGTGCGTACACGTTATCCATGCAGGTTCCCCATTCCCACCTGCCCAGCGTTTTACAGTGAACGGTCAAAGACCTGAGCCTCCTCTTCTCTCGCGGTAGCGTTCAAACCAATTGGTACGTCAATCGTACATTCGCGAAAGTCTCTTCATCCTAAAGAAGCATTTTTATAACGAAAATATATGTAATACTATAATGCATAAATATTCATAAAATGCAGTTGTTCGTAATTTATAGAAAAGGCAATGATACTTTGAAACGATGATGAAAGAGGGAAGGAGGAGGGCAAGGAAGATGGCGAAGTAAATATAATAGAAAGCGTGCAGGAAGTCTTGAATTCTTATCAACTGTTGCATGATTCGAGTAAGATTGAGAAATGCCTCGAAAGTGACGAATGGAAATATAAAAGTCCAATTGAACGAATAACTTATTAATTTTCTATTATTTCTGCACATTTATATTGCAGAATATCGATAAGAATCAGATGCATGTAACACAAAGTTAAAAACTCGAATAATAGGAAGAATCTTTTTTTCAAGAATAAAAAACACATTTAAAGAAAATTTTTCTGAAAGGGAAGATAAAAAGGAAAAAAATGATATTGTGTTTTGAAAGTTATGGATCTTACATATTTTAAAGAAGAAAAAATGTCTCATAATATATAATATATAAATTTGATTTGCAGCAAATGATATCCACACTTTCCATTCGAGAGACGTCATGGAAATGTCCTTAGAATGTCTAGAGAACATATAGGATCGAACGTCCTCTGAATATCTTTAGAACCCAGAGATCGGTCCTATAGATATGAGATATAGTCATATATATCGTTACTTTAGAAGATCAGCTATCGAGAATAGCTTATATTAGAATTACTATCCCTAATAGCACACTTTATCTGAAATATATCCTAGGGATGTCCTAGGATGTTCGAAGAACGTACGGACGTACGTCCCCTGGAGATCTATGCTACTAGAGATACATTTTGCAGCTTTTCTTTTAACTTTGGACCTTTTTCCAAAAATTAAATAAAAATTGATACGAAACTCCGAGAGTTGTCACCCTTTCCACGCACGGTCCTGACAGGTGGAAATCATGTGGCCGCTGCGACAATCACGAGAACGGTCGAGCGAAGTTCTATTGCGGGTCAACCGTGGGGAAGGGAGAGCGATCAGCGCCACCTCGTTCCTCGATACGTAGCGACGGCAGTAGTGGTGGTGGTCTCGTCGCGCGCGACTGCTCCATTCACCGGATGGTCCGGATACTCCGGATTCACCCGTTAACCGTTGCAGCGATCTGATGAGTCTCGTGACTCGCCGTGCCCGTAGTGCCCGCACTCGCGTTCACGCGCAGTTGCGCCTCTTCGGTCAGCGCAACGTGATCGAGAAGTAGTATATATATACGGCGCGGGATATTTCCAGGGATCCAGTGATACGTGATCCAGCGGTCAATTCGCTGGTGCGCGGTGATCCGTCGGGAAATGTGTCGCCGTTGTCCGACCGGCTATTGAAAAGTGCAAGCCGCTCCCGTTCGAGCGCGATTCTTGTTACGTGAGAAGGATCTATGCTCCGCAATCCACGGATAAAATGACGGTTGCTGGAAAGGTAAACTTGTTGAATCTGACTATTGATCGCGAATCGTTGCGAGACTTTCGCGCTTCTGGGTTCAACGTGTTGAGATCATTTAAAATATTTAAATCGTTGAATCGTCGAACGTGTATTCGAATGTTCGAACTTTTTGATCGTTCGAGGCTTTTCTTTTAAAGAAAGAGTTTCTCCGTTCAAAAAACTATCGTTGTTTTCAGAACTACGTGTTACTAGTACTTTCAGTTCCTTGATACTTGTTGCTTGATATCGCTCATTCGTACTTGAGATATTACGATTACAGTTTATTCGAATATTTCAAATCGCGCCACATTTTTTGAAAATTGCAAATCCCGGAGTTGATTTCCGTGAGAATGTCCTCCTTTTTTATTGCACGGTAGAGTATTGGATATACAGATAATCGATAATAAAATTATTCAATTATTACCACAAGTTGATCGCAAAGATGAAGAATATGATGATATAGAAGTATTATAGTTAGCTTTGCAAAGCTCGTTACCTTTTAATCTTTTCTCTGTTGTACACAAAAGAGGATCCACAATCTACTTTCTACCCCGGATACAACGCCGAATTTCGACACGAGCGCACAAACGTTATCGCCCTTCTCGTGGCGTGATGTTACACGCCGTAATCGTACAGACGTTAAAGTGACTATAATTATTCTCGTGATTAGCTGTCATCCGGTTTACATCGAGTATGTTCGCTCGGCCGTTAATTGGTCGCCCGATATTGCTGATAAATTAGGCGACAAGAAGCGGCAGACAGGCAAACTTCTAATTTTTTCCATGAAAATCGCGCCGTTCCTCCAATAATGATGGAGCCAATGTTTCGAGATAATTTGGAATCACGCGGTAATATATAAATTTGTATTTAAGGTGTTTTTACTCAAAATGATTTCCAACTAATCTTTTTAATCGTAGTCCTCTGATATTAATTTCTTCAAAAATACGAAGATAGAAATAACAAGAAAGAGTTTCTAGCAAAGTTTAGAAAGGAAGCTGATAATGAAATTTTATTTTTCAGCAATTTTTGTGTAAAACTTCAATGTTAGTTTAAAATTTAAATATAATTGTAAAAAAGTTTAATTATATTTAAATTATAATTTTAATTAGATTTAATTATAATAAATTTAATTAGAATTAAATATAATTTCATTTTATTTAGTTATAATTACGCTGTAATAAATTAATGTATATTATAGTATAAAATCCTTATACGACAAAAAATACTAAATTCATAAGAAATATTTATCATAGTATATTTACTATAGTATAGTATATTTATTATATAATCATATTAATTATATATATTATATAAACTCTCTTATTAGAATTATAATTAAATTCAATTAATAATTATATTATTGAATTTCAATATTATTGAATTTAATTATAGTAAAAAGATGCAGTATTTTACTGATAATAAATCCGAAAGTTATGCGACGTGAATGACGACGATCTTTTTTAATGTTTCTGCTAAAATAAAATTCTTCAGGATAGGTTAAGAATATGCAGAAAACGTTATTTAATTATTGGACGCTTTGTTCGAGACGAAGAGGGAACGTGTTCGATCGCGGTCGAATCGTGTTTGGTGAACGCGCACTCTCGAAGGCGCGCTTCCGGGTTGGAATACTTGACGTTCTGGCCTTTCACGCAATCGTGCGAGAGAGTACGGCAAAGTGGACACAGCCGCCAATCGAGCTCGCATTAATCACTCGAAACTCGGTTTGCGCCAGTCCGCTCGGTTGGAAGTGTGTCGAATCCGGTTGAATCCCGTACCACGCCTCGTATGCGGCGAGGATGAGCGCAGAAATGCGACAGCTATATACAAGCGGATACTCTTTCCGGAGTAATGGTTGTCGATGAACCATTCTGAACTTTTTTAACAAACTCGAATTTCCCATTCACGAGGTGAAGAGGAAATTCTTTTATTATGATTTACTAAATAATATTAGGGAAAAAAGTCCCTTTACAAGTTGCTAAAAAGACCCTTTCCCATCAATATCTTCGTTAAAAATGATCAAAATTGAAATTTAAAAAAAAAAGGCTTTAAAGCTTGAAATCTCTACTTTCGAATGGTTATTTTTTGAATTTATGTGAGTTTTGTAATTTTTACATATAGAAAACTACGAGCTAAAAAAAATGAAAAATTTTCTTTTCACTTAGTAGGTCTGTAGCGTGCCCCAAAAAATTTTGAGCAAATTTTCGACTATCTATCGTGAAAGCTTGAAGCTTTCCC